GGCAGTGCTGGGTTAACGGTTGGACTCGATGATCTTGAAGGTCTTTTCCAACCCCAAAGATTCTATGATTCTATGAAAGCCACACTCTTGGTGTCTAGTGCCCAAAGGGAGCATTAGGATAAACAGAGATCTTTCTTCCTCTGTCAGTTCCACGTTAACCCAAAAATGGGGGGATCTGCACCTTCCTTTGAAACGTGGGAAGGAAGGCTGGATGGACCTGGATCGCAAACAGTCCGTTCCCTTTAGTCAGTATAATGTGGTTGCCGCATGCGCTTCGGTTTGACCCCAACTTGCTCTTCTGTAAAAATGTTTATTTAAACGGCTCTGTTTAAAAATGTTTTAAAACATTTCAAAACATTTCTTTTTGAATGGTAGAGTGAAAAAGACCTGAAAACTTTTTTGAAGACTGTTTGAAAGCCATTTATGGAGAAAGGCACTTGAGGCAAGGCAGTGGGGCTGAAGAGCACAGCGGCTGAGAGGAGGAGGTGGCAGGGAGACTGTGCAGAGGTCAGTGAGGAAAAACTGCAAAGCAGCTGCTAGGAGAGGATGTTTTTCAAAGCAGTGTTGATCTCTGCTCTCTGTCGCTTTTTATTTTATTCTTGTTATGCTTTTAGTAAACAATGGAGTCAGACATAAAAGTGAATGAACATTTTAAAAGCCAGTTTAAGGCTTATCAAGAACAACAGCAAAGGCGGCTGCAAAATCTAATGGAGAGGAAGAAGGAAAAGCAGAACAGTCAGAAGGGTGATAATGGCAACGCGAAGGAGACTTTCAGAATCCTGAATGATCTAAACCTGTTTGAAACGGGACAACCTACAAATGAAGATGACAGCAAAAGGTAAAGGTGTAGCAACACCGTTCCTCCAGGAAGTCACCGAAGTATATTTTGCGTATGATCTTACGAAACTCATTAAGTTGACAGAGCACTTTCTGTCGTCACATATTGCGCTTTTATTATCCTGAGAAGACTCTCGCTGCCCCTAACACGTTTATCCTCAGAGCATTGTGATGTGCTCTTTATTATCAGTGTTTCACAAATGAAGGGCGGAAGAACAGAGGGGTTAAGGGTGACGTGCTAGAGGCAGCTAGGTACTATCTGACAAAATCCAGTCATTCATAGTCACTAACATCCTCTGAACTGTTGGTTAGTTCCTGCCTAGCCTTCTAAACAAACAGGTTCCCTACCTGAATAATTTCCAAAGACAGATAAGGGCAAAGCAACTAATGGGTGCAAGCCAAGGGCCTGCAGCGCAGAAAAGTGTTCCCCTGGCTATCTTTGCAATCTTACCCGATTTAGTAGATCAAAAGACAGCCAGCAATATAGGAGGGTCTCATAAACACAGTTGCCTCCCGGTTAAGAGATTTGACAGGGTTACACAGAGTAGGGTTTTAAATCTTACTGGGGACAGGGATTTGGGTCTTATCTCACCCGTTGGGGTAGTACCTGGATTACCAGGACATTGGACATCCTGGTGTGGATCTCTCTTGATCTTGTTTTTGGAGCTGAGTGCATAATTCAATTTACTGGAGCAGGGATTTGAAACCCCAGCTCAGATCACTCATCTTCCTCCTAGGATATAGTCAGTCTCTCACCCAATTAATAATTTTGTTACAAACTAGAACAGGTCTAAAGTTGGACACATCCCAAAGATGTCTGCTG